AATTAGATTAGCACCCATTAGACAATGCTGAAGAGTACATTAGTAATAGGTGAGAAGAAAATATTCAGACAACATGGCGAGCAAAGCAAGAAGAAAAATACAAAAAGAAATGTAAGAAAGCCAATAAGCATTGATTCATAGATCTAAGAATTGCTGCAAACCATTAGCTAGACAAATAAGCAGAAAATTATATCTAGACAAACTATAGTGTATGATTGGAAACCAAAAATAGGAAGAAAGTGAAAGACACAATATTATCAGATAAAAACAAAGCAAATAGCTGATTTTATCTTTTTTAGCTTTCCAATGTTATTCACTGAGAAATCTGCACTGTTTCTTTTTCCTTTTTTTTAAATTAGTGTCTGTATGTGATACATAATAATTACATTCACCTTAGGAAACTGGTATGTATACATGTATTTTAATTATACTGCTGTCATGTATTTTAATTAAACACATACTCAATGTTCATTTATAGTTATGAACATTATATATGTCTCTGCATAAATACACATATCTATAATATCAAATAAAGTAAAAATAAAGAAAGAAATCATCCTTGCAAATTTTTAATATAGAAAATATTGAATTAAGTACTTCTAGCTGAAAGAAAATAGTCTCAGATGTAAGAATGGAGATGAAAAACTGAATGAAGAGCAAAGGAAAGGGAAAAATATTGCATAAATACGAACAGATACTGACTTTGCATGCAAATATACTTCGCAAATATAACCTACAGAGAATGAATATATATCACAATAAAAATCAAACATCAGAAGGCTGTAAACGAAGTTAAAGTGTTATATTTCCATTTTCAGTAAACTGTACTTGTACTAGTCTATATCATAGTTTAATTAATCAAAATTGTGTGTTGGTGTCTTATAGTTAGCAATTAAGAGAACAATAACTAATTAACAGGTCAATGTGAAGGAAAAGGAATAATAAAAATACAATATTCCAGAAGAAGCCAGAAAAGAAGAAAAAGGGGGAATAGAAAGAATGCAATACTAAATAAATAGAAAACAAACAGTGAGATAGTAGTTTGTTTTTTTTTCCTTAAGCCTGATTCCCACTTGTCCTAAGGCATTGGATATATGTACCAAGAGCTACACGGTTGCAAACTAAAAGAGAATAGTTCCATATTTCATTAAACTCAAAAAGAAATATAATATATTTAGGTTAAATTCCAGAGACTCTTTAGTACTAAAGAACTTTACTTTGAATAATAAATTTTGCTGAGAGCAAAATAAAGGATCCAGCTTCAATGAAAAATAACTTGAAATTAAACCTCAAAAGCTATAAAATTGTATTTTTAGAAATTTAATAAGCTTGAAACTGTGTTTGTAATAGAATTTAGATCTTTGGAAATTCTATTTTTGCAGCAAGACATTAATATATGAAGATACTTAGCTACTGAAAGTCAAAGAATTGCCTAACCAAGAACCTCACATTGAACTGAAACTGAGACACACTAATTAAATCAGCTTGATCATATCCATCTGAGCACAAAGTACTTTTGTACAATTGTACTTGTATTTTCTGCACAAAAATAAACAACCCCCTAAGAAATAGTTTAATCACAGAATAACTAATCTTAATGTATTTGTCTATCAAGATGGGCATGGTGGTACACTCCTGTAGTCTCAATATTCTGGGAACCCGAGGCAGGAGGAGGATTACAACTTCATGCCCAACAAGGACAATTTATTGAAACACAGTCTCAAAAAAAAAAAAAATTAGAAAGGGTGAGGGATTTAGGGATGTAGCTCAGTATAAAGTTCACAGGTTCAGGAGAGAGAGAGAGAGAGAGAGAACATCAGCAAATATGCACTGACCCAAAGAATACTGACTCAAAGAAATTAATTATTCTCCGCATCAACCCTTTTTATAAGACACTAAATAGTTAAACTTCAAAAGTAGGTATGTCTATTTATAAATGCACACATACAATATTTACTTTCACCTTAATAATATATCAAGGATATATAGGTATGTTGAATGTACAAACTAAAATTTTAAGGTCTAGCAAGCTATTGCATGCACAAAATTGCAGAATAAATTTGTCCTGTAAAAAGATTATGATTCTTCACCTTCTGTTGCACAGCTCAGCATTCTTTGAAAATATAGTACTTCTATTTATTCCAACTGCAATCAAAGTACTCCACATCACACAAGTGTCTCTACCACTCCTCACAATGGAGACTGACATAAGTTCTTTGCTGTCTTTTCACAGCCTCCAGAATCCATGTTCATCTATCTCCCCATCAAAGCTGGACAGGGTTCATGCCCTCATTCTCATTGATTCTGCACTTGCGTAACAAGTACAGATCATAGTTTGGGACTTTCAATCATTGTTTGGGACTTTGAACAAATGCTAAGAGTTTTTAAAGTATGTGATATATATGTCCTAAAAAGGAAAATGGTCATACATTTGTTCACTCATCAAGTATGTATCAGTCCCTAAAATCTAACCAGACATTTTGTTAGGTACTAAGAGGCCAGTGATGGATTACTTTCTTGTTCTTACTGTACTCAAAGTCCTGCAGGGAATTAAGCATCGAATAATCACAAAAATAAATATATAATCCATATATATATAGAACAAACAGGATAGTATGTAATAAAAGTATAACAAATGTTTCAGGCCCTTACAGTCTGGAAAAGATTTCATGAGAAAGTCACATTCAAATTGGGAGCTGAAGGATGAATAAAATTGATTATTTGAAAAGATTCAGAAGAAAAAACAAAGAAAGGCCAGAGAAAACATGATTTACTGAGAACTCGGGGAAGGCTGTTGTGGATATCCTGGTAAGAGTACAAGAGAATACTTGAAGATAACATTGCTGAGATATAACAATGTTTTAAAATGGTCTTTTGACCAGTCTAGGTCACAGAGAACCCATTAAAAGTTTTTTGTCTATTCATAAAAGCAATGAGAATTCCCAGATGGCTGTGAAAGACTGGGATAGCATGACTCTGTTTGAAATAGAGAACATTTCTGAACTAGCTATAAAGACACATGAACAATGAGGAGACTACTGCAACAATCCAGGCATCCGTGACAGGTAATGCCATTTTAAAACTGGTGGTAGCAGGAAAGTTGGATAAGTCTGGAAACATTGCAAGAAATGAAATGAAAGACTCTGTGCTACTTTGGGTGTAGGGGAAATGAAGGAAAAGGAACTTTGGGTTTCCATTCCCTGCCATGGGAAATTCTGTAGAAAGCTTAGGGTGAAAGGAAGGACAATATGAACGCAATTTTGTAGACATTTAGTTTGAATTGTTTCTGAGCTACTCAAGAGATAATACCAAGTGATTAGTAGAACACTGGGACTTCTGGTAAGAGAGAGAAAGGTGGAAACAAAACTCTGGAGGAGCCTTATCTACAAACAGGGACTGACTATGTGTGTGGATAAAAAAATAGCAAGCAGATTAGAAGCAGACTGGAGGAACTAGACAGACGAAGGCCACCAGGCCTGCCAAGGAGGGCAAGGAGCCAAAGAGGTGGGGTTTAGAGTACTACAGGTGTGTGAGAACACAGGCTAAGGGAGATCAGGTGCAGAGCCAAGGGTTAGGTGTCAGTGCCGCTGTGAGCTCAAATAGGATGAAACACAAAAAATTACAATTCAACAGGATTGGAACAAAACAGAGTTATTTATAAGATGCCAGAGAACACAGAGAAATGAGTTAATTTTAAAGGGAGAGAAGAGTTGGACTCCCAAAAAGGGGAGTTTTAAACTGTATTTGAAGGGCTGGGGATTTAGCTCAGTGGTTCTGCTGCCTGCTCCACAAGCGCAAGGACCCAAGTTTGATCCCTGGCACCAAAAAATAAAAAATAAAATAAAATAAACTGTATTTGAAGACTGAATAGGAGTTCTCCAGGCAAAACAATTGAGGGGTAAAAAGGCAATATTTCTCCAGGAAGGAACAAAAACTCTGCACTAGGCTGATGGGGGTCCCCAAATCCGTTTCTCCTATTCCTTGATCAGGTGAATCAGGAAGAGTTTTTCAACCCGCACTCAGAATTCAAAACAAGAATAACTAAGCACTCACAGGGCCCCTCCCTTTTGACTTTTTGCTTTGGTTTGTTTGTTTGTTTGGTAACATGGATCGAACTCAGGCCCTTGTGCTTGCTAGGCAGGCAGCAGCACCACTGAGCTAAATCCGCAGCCCCCTTTTGACCTATTTTGGAATTTACATAGCAATTGCCACTATTGTTTAATAGTTTGTGAAATTTTAAATTTTATGCTTTTTGGCTTGGGGATTTAGCTCAGTGGTTCTGCCTCGAAAGCACAAGGTCCCGGATTCGATCCCAGGTACCAAAATAAATAAATAAATAAATAAATTTATGCTCTTTAAAGGAAACTTAAATTTCCTTGTGTATTTTCTTCATTTATCATACCCTTCTGGTTGAAAGTGCATTAAATCACAAGGATACTAAGTTTGTTACTGTCTTTATCTGGGAGTTAAATAAAGCAGGAATGCAATTTACCCTGCAATAGCTCCTATGTACAATTTAATTCAAGTTTTCTCGTCTGTTGATGCACGGGTACATTCGGGATAATAAAATATCTGGTGGATAACTTCATGCTACCCTGTCTTCCTAACCTTCTACATTGGCTTCGTTTCCTTTTTCTGCCTCCCATTTGACCTCTGTGTAGCGCAGTTGGAGGAGGGAAGACAGAACAGGGGCGGTGTCCTTTAAAGAACGTGTGTGGATGTAACTGCATGAGATAAAACATCTCTCCCGGGGAAATCAGAGGGAAAGCGGTGTCCTTTGGCTCCGGCAGGTGGTCACGGATGGGGATGCCCTGGATGATCTCAGGGCGTGTCTGCTCCTTCAGGGGATAAAGATGAGGGCCGCTCTTCCAGAAGGGCCGCCCACCGGGATGGAGCTGCCACCCGGGAAGGTGGCCCGGGGTGGGTCCGCGGTGACAAGGCGGGAGGAGGCACACAGAGGCGGTGGGGACACCCTCGCTTCAGGGGACGTGGGGCGGTACCTGCGCAGAGCCAAGCGCCCCTGCCTCGGGATCCCCGATCCAGAGATGCTCCCGCAGCAGCTGCTGGTAGCTGAGGCAGTGCTTCACGGCGGAAGGCACGTTCCCCATGGGGAGGTCGGGCGCGGCGACGGCTGGGGCCTGCGGGGACCGTGCGGACGGGAGCACGACGACGGCGGCGTCATGGGCTGTGTGCGGGGACCGCAGAGGCCCGGAGCCCGCACATGCAGGGCCGAGGCGCTGGGCCCGGGAGGTCTCTGCGTCCTCGCTGCTCGCCGCCGCCCCACCTGACTCCGGGGTTGGGTGGAGCGGGGCCGAGGGAGACGCAGCGCCGAGGCTTGGCCTAGTGCCGGGTTTCTTCAGCCCAGCCAGGTTCACCCACAGTCCACTGTGAGGTTACAAGAGATGATCGCTGCTTTATAACAATAAACCCCATTTTTTAAAAATAGAGGCAGTATGCTAGGTTAAAACACACAAACAGCCTAATAATCAAAAAGCTGAGGTACAAGGACTAAATTGAGGGAGATGTCAGGTGTACGTTGGCAGGAAAATAATCAAGGAGTTGGTGCTGCAAGTCAGACGCTGAAATGGAGATGAGTTTTTAAAAAAGACAAATGGCACCAAGTTATTGAGCTCTGAGAGCTAGATGCATTGGAAAGGAAAATGTGAAAAAAGTGCTCAGGGTACTGGAATTGGAGAAGTGCTTGGTGGGAAGGGACTGGGCCTGTCCTGAAGCCCAACAACCCCTGGATTCACACCCCCTCCTACGCAGGCGGACCTGGATTGTCCGGCTGCTGGACGCCTTGGCATGGGCCCCGCACCTGCAACTGAACTGCAGGTTTGCCAGGACCGGCTGCAGACCCGGCCAGCGCCCGCATCCACAGCTACCAAGCGACCCCACTCTTTTCAGCCCAAATGTAAATCCAGAACAGACAGATGAACACAGTTACATAACACATAAAGATGTCCAAAGGTTACCATGTGAAACAGTAGAAACACATTTAGAAGGAATTTACTATACAGGTAGATATATATATACACACATATATATATATATATATACACACACATATATATACATATATCATTACCACTTCTATGAGTGGTAAGATTTCTACTAATAATAGAAATAAAGGGTTAAGAGAAGAAAGTCAAAGAATGGGAGAGATATCAGGAATTGTTCAATGGGAACAGCACCAGAAAGGGAAGAGAGGACAAAGCAATCTTATACACAGCTTTGACCAAGGAAACATGAAGATGTGTGATTATTGGTCACCTTTAAAACCTCTAAAGCTCCAAAACCCCAGTTATTATTGACTTGAGCATGACTGTTTATAGGTAGATATCCACAGACATTGCATGTCGTTTTTGGCAGAGCTCAGCTGCTAGTCAATTTGCCCCCAGGATTGAAATGGTGACCCAGGTTGCATAATGCCTGTTACCATATTTTCTAGCTCTATTTTAATTCTCTAATAGGGAACATGATATTTGAAAAAAATTACAGAGACTCTATTTGAACAACTCTAATTTAGCAAAATGTTTCATAATGGGAATTAATTATTCAAAACTGCAAAAGTTTTGACAATTAACATTCAAATGTCTAAATTTGGAGACTGAGTTCTAAGACAAGACAAATATCATGAGTCATTTCTATGAAGATAAAGAACATCTAGAAATAAAATGTACTGCTTAATAATGTTCTAAATTACCAGTCTTAAGAATTTCATATTCCATTAGTTTATGATAGTGATACTTTTTTTTACAGGAAAACCATATAAATACATAAATGTGTTTGAAAGTTTGTTTGAATGCATTTCACATGAAAAATGCTATATCTCCAAATTTTAAACTAAAATTCCTATAAATATTAAAATTTTGGCCAATAGAAGACCAAATATCTTAAGAACATTTAAACTAATGAATAAAAGGGAGTGACAATGATGTGCTTTCACTAGGAGTGAAGTTAATGTTAAATCATGAATACTTATAATTATTAAATTTTAATAGCTCGTGCTCTTGTACTTAATATTAGTGCACAATTTACTCTTTATTATAAAGGGGTTAAGGGAAGAAATGGCAGGGAATGTAAGACATATCATGCAGATTTATTTTAATAATGGGTATTGTGAAGATGTACTCTTATTTTTAAGGCTGCAAAGCTGTAGTCAAAGTGAAGATAGAGCTAAACTTTGTGAAATGTATTGTATGGTAAGAAACTTGGGCTCCATCAGAACAGTAAAGAAATCACTTGTTTAAAAACCACAGAGCTGTTTACTGCCATATCCTAATTCAGTAAGCTCTACTACTCTCATTGCATCATATGACAAAACCACTTTTATTCCCTTCCATTTCAGATGTTTCACTATAAGAGGATATGAACATGCAAAGCAAATTAAACTGTTGAAACATTTCAGACCACCTACTTACCTCCTTCTTCTGATACAGCCTTGTCTCCGAACTACATGTCTTTAGAAGGCATCGTCATCATGCCCTCGGAAAGAGCCTAAGAGCTGACTTAGCTGAGTAAGAAGCCAGCCATGCAGGTTATACAATAAACTTGTGGAAGGTCTGTAGCTTTTGTTTAATTATCTGTAAAAGGGTAATGATAACAACTTCCAGTGATTACAAAAATCAATGAACTAGAATATATATTCAACATACAGTTTTTGGCATGGACTAGGCTCACAACAAATGTTGGCTATTATTAATCTAGTAGCCCAGTTTTCTCTTTTATTTTGTGTTCTGCAATATATATCACATGGACCGTGTATTAGATATTTTCCTTTCACTTAGACAAAATACTGGCATCTGCAACTTAAAAAAGAAGAGGTTTTTTTGACTCATGATTTTAGAGAGTTCAGAACATTACTGTAAGGCAAAAATGCATGGTGGAAAGACAGGACGGAGGAAAGCTCTCGACCCATAGCTGCCAGGAATCTGAAAGAGAGAAGAGGAGCCAGGGACAATATTAAGCCCTTCCAGGTTATGTCCTAGGTGACTCACCTCTTCCAATTGGGCTTGCTCTCTCAACAGCGCATTTCACATGTACTCATTTAATGAATTAATCCACCGATGAGTATAGCTAATCCAAGATCCGGTCACCTTTGGGAAGCCCCATCTGTGAACACATTTTAGGAAATATTTTAGATCTAAAACATAACATTCTACTCCTAGCCCCGAAAGGCTCACATCCATCTTATTATGGAAAGTTCATTAACACATCTGTAAAAGTCTCCAAAGTTTCAGCAGTTCCAGCATTCCTGCAAAGTCCAAGTCCAAAGTCTCACCTGGGACTGGAGGCAAACCCTTAGCTTTGAGCCCCTGTAAAAATCAACAAGAAAATTAAACACTTCCAACATAGGACAAACATTGCAATTCAAAAAAAGGAGGAATAATGGGATAGGAAGAAATTGGACCAAAGGAAAAACAGAACCTAAAAAGGCAAGCCTTAAATCCTGTAGCTCTTAGACAGTTGCCCATTACAGCTCACATGGCCTCCCTTTTAGGCTGGCCCTGTTCATTGGCTGCAGCTTTCCTCAGTAGATATTCCACATTGCTGGTATCTCCAGTATCCTGGGTTTCTCATTGCACCTTTGGCTTCATTCCCACAGCTTTATCCATCGCCTTCTCAGGGTCACATTGCCTGACCTCCCAGGCCTTCCTTTGAAATTTAGGTGGAAGCTTTCATGAACCCACAACCCCTGGGATGATGCCATGGTTGCCTCTGCTAGGTCCCCTGGAGCTATTGCTTCAGAGGCCTCTGAGAGCATGGATGGTTGAATTTAGGGATACTCTTCGCAAGGTGCCTGAGTGAGCAGACAACTGCCAGGATCTCTTCCCAAAGGAAAAAGTGTTTTAAACGAGTTTACTCTTTTATGCACTTGAGCTTAGCTCATAATAAGTGGGGTCTGACCAATTCCTGGAAAGCCCTGAAGACATCTTTCCTATTGTCTCAGTGCAGAGTAGTTGGCTTTTTGTTTATTTATTTTTTAATGGCACTACTCTTTTCAGCAACTGCACTCTGCTTGGCTCTAACTTTACAGGTGCTTCCACATCTTTCAAATCTGCTTCTTTTGCGGGTAGGGGTTGGGCAGTGGTACTGGAGATTGAATCCAGGACTCAGAACCTTCACACTGAGCTACATCCTCAGTGCTTTTTTATTATTATTTTTGACAGAGGGCCTAAGACACTAAGTTGCCCGGGCTAGGCTCAACTTGCAATCCTCCTGCCTCAACCTCCCAGAATCCTGACATTACAGGTCAATTCTGCTCTTTACTCCTGATTCTTACTATAAATCTGACTAAAGCAGCCAAGAGTAACTATGCCACAGCCTGAACTTTGGGATGCCTTGAATTTTTTTTCAACCAGATTATTCTCCTATCCTTAAATTCAACCACATATAGTCTTAAGACATGGACAAAATAGACAAAATGAATATAAATTCTTTGACAAAATGTAATATACATGGCCCCTAATTAAATTTCAATAGAATCTTCATTCTTATTTGAAATCTCATGAACTTGGCCTTTACTGCCTGCACTACTATCGGCATTCTGGTCTTCTGAGTTTCCAGCAGAACTGCCCATCAAGTTTATTTCATGGCATTGTAGGGCTTATCTGGTGTATATCTCCGTATCTTTCCAAACACTCTCTAAAAACCAATTCCAAAGATTTCTGACCCATGTTATCAGGTACTGTCATAGCAACAGCACTCTCATTACCAATTCTCTATATTAGTAACTTTCACATTATTGAGACAAACTACCCGCAACCTGCAACTTTGGCAGTTTCAAAGGGTTCAGTCCATACAAGGCCAGCTGGTTCCAACGCAAAAACTACATAGTGTAAGGACATGTAGAAGAAAGGTGCTCACTCCATGGCTGCGAGGAAGCACAGAAGAGATGGGAACAGCCCCTCCAGGACATCGCCCTAGTGACCCACCTTCTCTCATTAGGTCTCACTTCCTAAACAGCACATTCATCTATGGACTCATAAATTTTTCGATCTAAACTATAATAGCCTACTAATTTTTTGAAAGTAAACATTTGATCAACAATCCTTATCCTATACTCAGAAGATATCTATAACTTTGGCAGAAAAGTTGTGTTTCTTAAAATGGCACATTTAATTTTTATGATGAGACCCTTAGTTACCTTTCCAGTCTCAATTCTTACCTACTTCCTAAACTTACCCTTAAAAAAATGTGTGACTCCCAAAGGGCTCA